CATTCCTGCGTTGAATTGCTAAGAGTTTTTCCCTCTCTGAGCTGGAGATGAAAGAACAGAATTTGTTGGTGTTTTTCTAGGAGCTGGGGATGCTATATGAAGTAAAAGGGCTTCACAGTGCTTAGGAAGAAATAGTACTGCTTTTATTTCTCATGTACCCACTCGGAGATATGAAGCTCTATAGTTTGCTGTTTTGCAGGCTGGTTTGCGCACGCTCCACGACATTGGGCCAGAGATCCGACGAGCAATTTCTGGAGACCTGACAGCTGAAGAAGAGCTAGATAAGGCCATGAAAGAGGCTGTTTCAGCTGCCTCTGAAGATGATATCTTCCGGGTAGGTGCTGAACAACTTTACAAGCTGAGGCTAGACCAGGAGCTGAGCTCAAAGAGTGCTACATTCTCTTTTATGCACTCTGTATTTCAGCTGGGCCCTCCTTCTTGTTTTCTAGACCCTAGAGTGGTGGACTCAGGGTGCCAGGTCCTGAGATCTTTGCACAGTTCTTTTCCCGTTTTCTCCTCAATGGAAGTTTCTGTCATAAAACCTAAACAAAATCCGAATGAGAATGGCCAAAGAGCCTGAAGAACAGATCAGTTCAGCCGTCCTACTGCCTGCAGAGCAGCAGCCAGGCACACTCTGGTGTTTTGTTCACTCCTCCTTTCAGTGACATAAGTGGCATCCTTCCAAAACCCAACAGAGCTCCTATGAAAGGAGGAAATTTTCTGAGCGAGTTACCTACACCTTCTCTTTCTTATTTCATCCCTATTTCTTGTAATTTTCTCCTCTGGTAATATTTCCTCTCCTTTGGCATTTTCCTCCTTTCCTTACAGAAAGATGCTGTCACTTCCTTTCATTACTCATCATCTAAACAGTACATAACTGGCTCATTAAATCTTTCTTAATTTGTTCCTCCAGGTGATTAATAGTTTCTGGTGCTCTTCTCAAATTCCCTCTCGTGTCTAAATGTTGCTTTGTAACTGCACTGTGAAAACCAGAGAGCAGTTACCTGGTTCTTGCATCCCTACCCAGTCCGGCACTCCCAGGACTGGTGGGAGGTGTAGGGACACCTTTGCCTTACCTGTGCACCTGAAATATCTTAGAATATCTAATATCCTAGATATCTTAGAATATCTAATCTAATATCTTAGCTTTCACAGCCTGTGTGTCCGTGCACTGTCAGTGAGAGCACCAGTGCCATCCTGCACACTTTGATCTTCGCTTTTTTTTAACTCAACAACAGGTGAAGCAGGAAACACCAGGGCCCTTGCACATCTTCTCACTCCCAACGGCAAAATAATTCTGTTTCTCTGACAGAGAGCCGGAGGCTTGTTCGGAAACCACGTCAGCTATTACCAAAGTGACGGCAGGAGCGCGTTCCCCCAGACGTTCACCACCCAGCGACCTTTGCACATCAACAAGTCTGGCAACAACCAAGGAGATACGGAGTCTCCATCTCATGAGAAGCTGGTGGACTCCACCTTCACTCCCAGCAGCTACTCATCTTCAGGCTCCAACGCCAACATCAACAACGCCAACAACACTGCCCTGTGCCGCTTCCCCAGCCCACCCAGCTACCCCAGCACTGTCAGCACAGTGGAAGGCCACGGGACCCCTTTGTCACCCACCATACGTGTCCAGGAAGCTCCTTGGAAACTACCTTCCAAAAGGTAAGATGCACGGAGCAGAGAGTGGGTCAAGGGACCGGGGAGAGGAGCATGCTTGCAAAGAGCAGAGCACTGCTGCCTAGCTGAAGTCACCCACCGGCCACCACCCAGCCCACAGCCTGGATTGAGCCTTCTGGTTCTCCACTTGTGCCAAAGCCCACAGTGCGGCAGATACGCACCAGTTGACCACTGCAAAGAAACAGCACTCTCGCTGACCAACACACTTGATTCCTTTGGGCTTTATCACGAAGAAACTTTCATAAGAACCAAAAAGAGCCTTATTTATCCCTCCTTCACCACAGGGAGATGTTTTCTCAACTGCTAACTGAGAGGCAAAGGGACTGCAATTCATCTCTTAAGCGCTCAATAGGGAGCTTTGTGGAAGTCAGGGGTTTTTCTTTCAGTGGGTCACACAGAATCGTAGAATCATAGAATCATGGAATGGTTTGGGTTGTAAGGAACCTCAAATATCACCTAGTTCCAACCCCCCTGCCATGGGCAGAGGCATTCTGGGAGGAGGGAGGCTCTGTCTTCAGAAATGCAATACTGTGCAAAGCGAAGAAAATCCCCTTCTCTGGACAGCTTCAGGCTGCCTGCACACAGATGACTAATATGAAAGAAGTATGGCTTTTATCAGTGGGGAACTTTTTTCAGTAACAGCAGGAAGGAGCTGGACATTTTTATTCAGTGCAGAGAGCAGGCAATGCAAAAAGGTGGACAAATTCTGCCCCAGCAAAGGACAGAGTAAGAGAATAAGATGGAGGCAATTCAGCGGGTGCAGAATTGCCCAAGTAAAGAGTCCAGTGTTTTTTCCTGTTTTGTGCCTTCCTGAGGGAGGCCACGGGAGTTGCACAACATGTGTTACCATCTGCCCTCCCCCTTGCTGACCTGTGCTGATGTGACACTGCTAACATGGTGTTCTTTTCTCTCCTTGCTTCCTTGGGCACCTTCCTTGAATTAGGACGCATTACTACGAAACACTGGGACGGTATGTGTTCTCCCTCGTGCTCTCGTGCTCTCTGGGTGTAAGACCCATTGTTTGTCCAACTGAAAGTCCAAATCCCCATTAATGCCAAATACGAGCTCTTCATTTCGGTGTCAGTAGGGCTGGAAAAGAGGTAATGATCACCATGACATCTCCAGAAGCTACCCCCAACTGAGGGCTTTTCTGCCCACAGGCAGGTAGTGATGCGTGGACTGTTTCTAGTTGGTTTCTAGATTTTGAAGCTTTTTAGAGTTTTTAGCTGGGCTCACATATCTAGGTACTCTCTGATGACAGCACAGTGAAGTACACCCTGGTGTGTTGATTCAAAAATTCTGTATGGTTTTGGCTAAACACAGGCTGTTGAACAGGGGGAACTGCCAGGTACTGATTTCTCCCCTCTGCAC